GTCCAATTTTCCCAACACCATTTGTTGAAGAGACTGTCTTTTTTCCATTGGACATTCTTTCCTGCTTTGTCAAAGATTAGTTGACCATAGAGTTGAGAGTCCATTTCTGGGCTCTCTATTCTGTTCCATTGATCTATTGGGCATGGAGCACTTGGTGTTATACACAAACAATGAATCATGGAACACTACATCAAAAACTAATGATGTAATGTATGGTGATTAACATAACAATAAAAAATTAAAAAAAAAAACCAATGTGCAGCTCACCCGTTTCCTCCTTCCCATCCCAACAACAATCCTCCAGATGGTTGAGGTCCTATCAGCCTGCATCCCAGAGTGAGGGTGACATAGAGCAGAGCCTGCCCTGCAATGAACACATAGCAAATGCAATAAAGAAGCATTTGCTGTGTAAACCACTGAGATGTCAGGGTTGTTTGTTCTGCCAGCTCATGTTAAGCCATGCACCTGTCCATTCAAGCCATCAGCTTTTGGTATAAATGCCACAAAGAATTGGTAGAGCCTGCAAAGATAGTTTTGAGTAACTCTGCACCTATACCTCCGCAAAGAAATGTAATAATCCAAGATCTATTTAATGGAAACCTTCGCTTTGCAAAGCATGTTTTGTCTAGGACCACCTTTACTGATATTAAAGGTGATGAAGATTATAGAGCAGGAAAAAAATGTGAGAAAAGAAATTTCAAATGTCAACCTTTGTGAGGATCTTGGTTGTTTCCTCATCTACACCCCTTGTTTTGCACATGAGGAGGAGTTCCCAAAAGGCCATGTGAATTGTTCTCATCATAATGCTGTTTTTGTGGTGCTCTTCCACAAAAAATATGTGTGTGGGTATGGGTGTGTGTTGGGGATGGAATGGGAAGAAGACAGGGGAGTTAGGGCATAGATGGAAACCATGCACCATATGGTATATATTTCTGTGCTGAGCATTTATATCATGCATGTGCTAAGTGCTGAATTTGAGATAAGAATAAGACAAGGGACTTCCCTAAAGAAACTTAAGATCTCAATGACAAAACAATAAAGAAACATGTGAAGAAGTTAATAGCTTAAGTGAAATGATGCAATTAATAATAGACTGCTGTATATTACAACAGTAAGGGCTACTGCATTTCAAAGGGTGATTCTGATTGAGTGAGATGGACCTGGGAAAGCTTCATGGAGGAGAAGAGAGTTGAATTAAGCCTTGCAGGTTGAGTGGCAAGGAGAAGAAAGATGTGTCAAGGAAACTGGGGCCTGAGAGGAGTGATTTTTCTCAAGTATATGGTAAACAGTGTTGGTATTGGAAGATTATATGGCATAAATGTGTGCAGGAAGCAGGCCTCTGGGAGCAGGATTGGAAGACCCAGCTATGGAAACAACCAGTTACAGGCGTACAGATGAAGTAAGCATAAAGAAGGCCACTGGGTGGGGGTACAGTGAAAGGATCAGGTACGTGAGGCATTTCAAAAGGGGAATCTCAACAATGGGAGCTGAGTGACTGCAGGTAAACACTGAAGGGGTTAAATCAGTGTTAAGGATTGTTGGACCACGGGACTAAGTCCATGATGGTGTTACAGCCCAGATGGCAAGACCTGGAGGCTGTCTGATGAACATCCAACATTTGGCCATGCTGAAGCCCAGGAGAAGAGTCAAAGCCAGGGATACCCTTCTCTCATAAACTGTGGGAGGGACGGCTTGGAGGGAAGGGGTATTGACTGAACCTTTTGCTATATATATCGGCACAAAAGGTGGGTCCAGGCAAGGAGATGAGGGAGGTAAGGTCACAAAGGCAGAAGTTATAAAAAAAACAAACAAACAACGTGCTATAGAGAAGAACCAGGATATTCACCGTGGTATGACAATCAAGAAAGACAGAATTTCATGAAGGTGGGGGGCCAGCAGGATTAAAGAGAATGAGGATGAAGAAAAGGCCATCGGACTTGAAATTTGGGATTTTCTTGGCTCTAGAGGAAGCATTGCATTCGATTTGGGTAAAAGCCAAATTATAAAGGGTTGGGGGGAAATAGGTAACGAGGGATATAAAAGACACTGATTTATACCATTATCCATTCCAGATCAGTGAGTAAAGAAGCAGGTCAGTGCTTGAAGGGGATGGCAAATTTATCCAGTTGTTTTGTGGTCTTGTGTTTTGTTAAGATAAGAAATGTCTGAAAGCCAAGGAAAAGGATATTAGGAAGATGCTGAAATGTAATGATTTTCTTAAATTTATATGAAATTTATGAGGGACAAAATTTACAGTTGACACTGACATTTTTTTCATTTAGCTTTCAGAGTAACATTAGAGAAATTATGTGAAGTTGCAGAGCGAGGGCAGAGAGGTTCTTCTGACTCAGTGCTGTTTCCTGCCCAGTGTGGACTCATTACTAGGGAAGAAAACTTGCTGGAGATGTAGCACATCCAGAGGGTGCAATGGGGAGTTAGGAGTCTCAGGTAGGTTAACCTGAGAGGCAAAGGTATCTCTAAGACCAAAGGCAACGGAAGGAAGTAGACTGAAGTTTACATGTTTGACTCACCAAAGAGAGGAGCAGCTCCTTTTTCCACCAAAGACAGACATTCAAACATTCTGCATACCCTACTCCTTCTGTGTGAAATAAGATACTTGCATTTGAAGGAAGAGGCTGATGATGTCTGTTTCTTAAGACATTCAAACTTGGTGATTATGTGACTTTTCTCTGGAGACTCTGAAAAGACTGCAAAAGGGCATAAAGAAGTACAGATTTTGAATGAACTCATGCTGCGAGCTCCGCACACCGTCCATTGGTCACGTCTCGAGTTCTAGAAATTATGGGACTAAGGGTCTACACGGGTTGCACTCTTTCTCTAAAGAGGAAAAGAGAAGAAAAACAATTCTTTCCTTAGCTTACGAGTTAAGCCAACACTTTGTAAACAGGTGTCTGAAGCTCCCTGGCTGGCCACAGATGTAATATCACAGATCTGCCTATTTCCAAAATGCTATATTCTCATTTTAGGATAACCTGAGAGGTGAAATTTCTCTTGTATTACAACAACTCACAAGTGAGACACATTTTCATGGAAGAAGACTGTATTTTCTTAAGGCAGTGTTTCTTGATATAAATTCTCACAAGGCACAGAATTTATTTTTCCTTTAATGCATTCCTTACTCCAAACCGTGAGTCCCGTTTGCAGATAAACCTTATTTGCTGCTGCCACCTGGTGGCGGCCACTCGGGAGGTTTGCAAAGGTCCTGGTGGTGCTAGGAGAGGGGGGCCAGGCTCTTCCCCATCACAGGATCCCGCACAGTGATCAAAGAGCAGGTCTTTCTATTAAACTCCCTGGCAGCCAAACAGCAAAGGCTTGGCTCCCTGCCCCCAGGACTGTGCAAAATGTCACATTTCGGATGCCCACAGCATTTTTCTTTTCTTTTATCTTTTTGACTCCTGTGGCTCTCAGACCTTGAATATAATTCTTTCCCAAAGATTCTTGAGAATCACTATTTGTTCTTTCTTCCTTTTTCTTTCTTTCTCTTTTTGAGGTATGCTAGAGGGAGGAGGAAGGGGACAGGCATTTTAATGTAAGAAGCTCACATCAAATTTACCTAACTTGCTTAATAACATGAACTCACTGCAATAGCAGTTTGATATGATAAGTCATTTACATTTTACTCATCTGAGTCTCTTGTGAAGAGAAATCATGAGGAGAGGGCTGGCAAGTGCTTTTATTATGATCATAAATGATCTACGCTCACTTAAAGAAGCAACATATGCAGAAATGACATTGTTTTGTTTAATAAAGTTCCATTCGGGGCGATTTGGCTGGTTCTTCTATCAAGTGTAATGGGAAAACAAGCCAGTCCTGATATTAAATACCCCAATGATCCCTCAAGCTTTTTATTTTGTAATAAGTCAATGCTCAGTTTTACAGCATTATGTGTTACCCATGACAGTCATTTAGTCGGTCAATTTCAAGCTAGTGACAAAACTTTGAGTAATAGGAGAGCAGTGTTGATGCTCCATATTCTCTATGAGGAGATGTCTATAAATTAAAGTTCCCAAGTACACACTAAATTTACATTTAACAGCCATTACTAAATGTAAGATATAAGTGAAACTGGATCTTCTGACCTACATATATGGAAAACTAATTAAAGCTGCTGGAAACAACCTATTTCTCTTTGGATTATTTATATGAGTACATAGAGATGTGAGAATTTAGTGCAAGTCAGATGTGTTCCTGTCTGTGGCTGTTGGTTAAAGCTGAGAACATTTTCTGAGGAAAATAGTGATTATTAAAAATTGAACTCCAAATGTGAACTTTCCTGTTTTTATAAGGCTAGAGCTTGGGTTATGAAACATCAGTGCTTTTCAAAATAGCTTTTTATTTTACAAGGTAAAAAGTCTTGTAAAAATCTCCTTTCAAAAAAAAAAACATAATTTTTACTAATTCACTAACTCCTTTACCCCATGCTTTATCTGAACTAATTTGAAAAGATTACCAGTGGTTTTTTTTGCTCCTCAAAATGAAAAGATTGTAGTTGGTCCTGTGATTTTTCACCTTTTAATCAAATTTCGTTTCATTTCATAATGTTAAACTCTTTGAGAGTTGTTTTAAATGTATATCATAGGGGTTTTTTTTGTTTTATTTATTTATTTAACAGAGAGAGACACAGCGAGAGAGGGAACACACGCAGGGGGAGTGGGAGAGGGAGAAGCAGGCCTCCCGTGGAGCAGGGAGCCCGATGCAGGGCTCGATCCCAGGACCCTGGGATAATGGCCTGAGCCAAAGGCAGACGCTTAACGACTGAGCCACCCAGGCGCCCCTATATCATAGTTTTCTTTAGAATTTCCTAAGATTAAACGTAGGCTCGTCCTCTTGGGGGGAAAAAAAAAAGGTTCTGGATGGAATCACTTGTGTTTACCATGCTGGGCTGTGTCTACGTTGACCGATAGAGGGCACTCAGTGCACTCTTCGTTTTAGGGGGAAGCAGGCTTGTGCTGTAAGTGGGCCAGAGGTTGAGTGGAGACAGGCCCACCTGCCCAGGTGGGTGAGCAGAGCCACGTGTGCGGTTGCTATGGCAAGGTCTGGATGCACTGGAGTGATGAAGAAGGGCAGTAACGTGAAGGTGACCTGCCTTTGGTTTTAACAGTCCTACCAGAAATTTCTGCTTATGCTGACGCCAAGTTTTTCTTTTGTTGTGGTTTCGAAATCAAATGAAATCTAAGACTATACTTTCAGGGATCATTTCTACAGTTTGAAATCAAATGAAATCTGATTAGTCCCCACTGAGTAAGGTTAGCAAGACATCCAAGAGCAGTCATCTTGCGGTGCAGGGGAAGAGACTTAGGGGGTCTAGGAGAATTGCAGGGTCCCTCACCCTCCTTGGTGCCTGCTTGTAACTCTCGTTAGTCACTCCTCTGAATCTGTGTGGATAGGCAGAGTTTGGGGGCACAATCGAGTTGGGAAACAGTCGTGCAAAATTAAGGCTATAACACTTGACACCATGCAAAATATGCACATCCACACTAATATCCTCACAGAAGTCAGGCCATTCCCACCTTAGGTCAAAGTATCGGACTCCATCCCCTTCCCCTCTGAAAACCCCACTGGATGTAGCCCTTTGAAATCATTAACCTGTTAACTCCCTCCAGCAAGATCACAGACCTCCAAGATTCATGTTTCTATCACCCTTATTAAGAAAGGAAATGAGAGCATGAGACAGCCTGTCATTTTTCAATCAAGTTATTCTACCATATTAGATTTTCAATATATTTCTACTATTGCGTTTATTTCCTTCTAGATACCAGCTCTAAACTTGTATCTACCCCTATTAAATCATATTAAATCATTAAATATTATCTCATTTAGTTCTGAAGTGACCTTCAGATGCAATACTGAGAAGGAAACAGTCTCCAGGCGTTTAATTGGTCCAACCAGCAATTTACCGCAATTATTTGGTTTGTTGAGGAGCATTTGAAAGCATGTCTTTATGATAACGGATACTTTTAATGTCAAGAGTTTTATAAAGATCCTTTCTGTCTTGGTCTGTTTGGGCTGCTATCACAGAATACCATGGGCTATGTGGCTTATAAACAGCAGAAACTGATTTCTCACAGTTCTGGACTCTGGGAAGTCCAAGATCAAGGCACTGGCCAGCTCACTGTCTGGTGAGAGCACATGTCCTGATTCATAGATGGCATCTTCCGTCTGTGTCCTCACGTGGTAGAAGAGGCAAGGGTGCTCTCAGGGGTCTCTTGTAAAGGCACTAATCTCATTCATGAGGGCTCCACACTCCTGACCTAAGGACCTCCCAAAGGCCCCACTTCCGTAGACCATCACATTGCATGTTAGCATTTAGCATACAAATTTGGGGGACACAGGGGCGCCTGGGTGGCTCAGTCATTAAGCATCTGCCTTCGGCTCAGGCCATGATCCCAGGGTCCTGGGATGGAGCCCCGCATGGAGCCCCACATTGGCAGAGCAGGAAGCCCGCTTCTCTCTCTCCCACTCCCCCTGCTTGTGTTCCCTCTCTCACTGTCTCTCTGTCAAATAAATAAATAAAAATCTTAAAAAAAAAAAAATTGGGGGGACACAAACATTCAAGCACTTTCTTTAGAAAGAAAGAGCTATTTTTCTTTGTGCTTTCTTGAATGTCCATTTTTTAGTTTTATAAATAGAACAGTATACATTCCTTTAAATGAAATTATGAACATTTCCCAAATATCCATAGAGCGCTTGTTTACTTCTACAACTAACAGCCAAAAATTAGAGATATAACAAAGTAAATTTCCCAAGCACTTATACATTGATTACAAACATTTAATCAAGGATTTCTAAATATTTAATTGAAAAAAATTCTGTTGTATCCAATTTTCCTAAATATTTTAAATACCTTAAAATTATACAAGATTCTCAAAAAGGTGTTATAAATACAAAGGTAATCAGGAGTTTGAGAACTAAACCAGTTATAAATATGCAAATATAGTGAATTTAAATGTCTTTTACCCTTAACTTGATTCATATATATTTTTTAGTCTTCTCTTGGGTTACGTTTTTGACATAGCAACTATATGCTATTTTTATAGCTTCTTAGACTCCAAAAATATTGTTATATCCAAATGAAAAACCACGTTTCAGAGTAGCAAAGAATGCAGAATCTCGGTTATAAGCCAGCTGATTCTTGGTAAGGACACAGGCCCCAGGTTCTAAGATTTAAATTCTAGCCAGTGATCCTCAGACTAAGCTTCCTTTAAATCCACATATGTCAAATTGGTTGAATTTTTACAATGATATTTCCTCACAAATTATTTGGCCAGCATCCCAAAACCTATTATCCCATTATTATGATGTATTGACCTGGTCTGTTAGAATATCTTGTTGGGAATTTTTTTAAGTATTTTATTAAGATTATTAGGGTCATGTGGAAGCCTTACCTGC